TTCTCTATCTCCATTTCTCTCAGTCCTTCTTTCCTTCTTCCTGTTCACTTTCTTCTCCTTCTTCCTCTTTTCCTGTCTTACTAAGGAGATGATGCCAACCTTCAACTAAGAAACATTCTGCTTCAGTCTCAGAGGAGTGAGGTTAGTGGTGAGCACCTATCATGTCCAGAAGGATCACAAGCTCTTGGTATCATTATAGGTTAATTGTTTAGAGCTCCTGTGCTTGTTAAGCATGCTGGAACACTAGATACCCCACTATTCTGAGAAACTGAGTCAGGAGGTTAAAAGGCAATTTGGTGTCATATCAAGACAAATTCAAAATAAAAATAAAAATGTTCTGTTGTGGAGCTCAGTATGAAGACTCTCAGTTCAATTTTCAGTATCACTAGAAAAAATAGAGGTTTGTGCTTATGCAGGAGTCCTACACTGATGAGGCAGAGGTCAACTCTCCATTTACTAGAATTATTGCTAGAAAGAAAATGTAAGGGAAGCTTGCCTTTCTGTGCCTAAATATGCAGTAGTTATAAATATTTTAGAACTTAAAATCTTTCTGGGTACTTTCGTCACTTGTGCAGTTTTAAGTGTAGAAAAACTGAGTTTGACACTTTGATTTTTGGTATTAAGAAGAGAAAATTAACAATTTCAGTTTGTTATTATGACATGCATTTAATGATACAGTGAAGGAAAGGTTTAAAGTTTTTAGAAAGTAAATGTGTGGCCTCAGTGGTTAGAATACAAAAAGAGAAAGAGGGTGATACATGTAGAAAGAGGGTGATACTCTGTTAGAAACAGCATAGTCAGGAAGAGAAAAAGAACCCCAAAGATCTTTTTTAGGATAAATCTTCCAGTTGACTAGATTTACAGTAGCAGGCTGGTGCAGTTGGGCTCTGAAGTCCCTTAGGAGCTTTGGTCTATGGGCTTGAGGTCCAAGCATTGGATTTAGGACAGGAAGAGAGAGAACAAACACTTGGGATTAGCTGGACCCTAGAAATCAGGAAACAGCAAGGAGGCAGGGCCAGATTTTGTCATAGAGAAATCTATAAGTGATTTAAGAGTTTTTTAATTTAAAAATGTACTGCTAATCCTGTGAGACCACTACAAGCCATAGAAACCTGCTACCACAGGGAAAGACTAGTGTTTGCTAGAAAATACTACTTTCTCTGAATCACTTATGCCCAGTATATTACATGCCTTGGATATTGTTACTTGTGTGGTGTTGGGATATATTTTCTTCAGTTTTAAAATTGTTACTTCAGTGTCTGTGTCTTGGGGAAATGGGTTGTTCTCTGTTAGTGTTTCAAATAAAGTTTGAACATTTTGAACATTTGTCCCTTTGTTTTCTTACCCTTTCCTTTTTTACTGTTTTTTTTTTTTTTTTTTTTTTTTTTTTTTTTTTTTTTTAGCTATACCACACACACTTAAACAACATGTTATGTGTTGGTTAGGTCTGTCTAGTCACCTTGTTCATGGCTCATGAATTCCTAAGGTTCTGCATTCCTCTGAAGGAAATCTTTTGAACCTAGGGAGGAAGTCGAAGTCTTGAGCACTGTTAATTCCAAACTCAGTCCACTCTCAGGGAAGGTCAGCTCTCTCTCTACACCCTTCTAGTGCCATTACTAGATGTTGTAACCCACTGTTTCGTGTAGGTGTGGGTAAATTTTCTTATGTACTTTAGTTTTATTTGTTACTTTCCATTTTTAGCAAATTTCATAAAATTCTCAGTTCCATCTTGATTAATCTCTTTAAATAAATCTGTTTAAATCAATCTATTTAAATAAAGCAGTCTGCTCCTGGATTCTCTTAAAAAGTCTTGAGAAAATGCAGAAGTATTCTTTGTGCCTGGAAATCACAAAGGCATGACAGTAGATGAGATGGTGCCCGGGGTGGAAGTGGCTTTACAGTCATTACTCATGTAATGATGAAGTTCTGTTCCTGTGAACAGGTTGTTAAATGACTTGTTTGCCAAATGAAGAGTTCTATATATCATGTACATTATAATATTCAGAACAAAGCAATGGCAAAGAAAACTTGATAACTTTGATTTTATTTGCACAACTCTCACATGCAGTACTGTGATATAGAACAGAACATAAAATACAGTTCTGTACTGTACAACTCTTAGAAATGACAGTACTGTATAAACAATGTACAGTGCACCAAAAATAAGACATTGAATCTTTATAAACATGATGTACAGAGCTTTTCAGAAAAGAAAAGATGGATCCTACGTCAAGGATGTGTCATTAAGTCCAATTAATTGTTAGGATGCATTGCATATGCCTTCTCTTATGCAGAATGGAACTTGGGATAATTTTACCATGCATTGTGATCCACATTAAAGTTCAGGTATTTACTTTTAATTTCTTAAGTCCCAAGTATTAAATGATTTCCTACATTTACAATCCAAAGTTAGTGGAGTATTTTAAATGATAACTTTTTTGATATAGAAGAAATTACTCAGAGATTACTTTGTTTTTCCACAGTTTGGTTATACTATGTTTGCAAGTGGTTCCCTTGAACTTTGAGGTTTCATGTTAGTAGAGCTTCATTCATCTGTGGCTTCATACTTTTACGAGTTTTGGAAAATATTTGGGCAGTATTTATGTAAGTAGAAATTCTGCTCTGTTTATCCTCTTCTTTCTGACCTCCAATTGCACATTTACCAAACCATCTTTTCATAGCCTGTATTTCCTTATATGCTTTCATATTGTTATGTTTTACTCTGGAACTTTTTAATTTTCTGAATTTCTTTATAATGGACACAATTTTAATCACTTAAAATAGCTTTTTTCTTTTCTCTATTTTTTTTATTTTTTTGTCTTTTTTGGTTTTTATCTGTACCAGGGATCGAACTCACGACTGCCTGCTTGCAAGGCAGGTGCTTATGCCACTGAGCTAAATCCCCAGCCCCTCTTTTCTCTATTTTTTGATAAGGTTTCACTATGCAGTTTAAACTGACCTTGATCCCACTTGAATCCCTGACTGAGGTTGAACTCATGGCAAACATTCTCTCTCAGGCTCAGGAGTATTGAGGTTACAGTTGTGAGGTTCCACATCCTGTTAGAGTTTTCATCACATATGTTTTTTTATGTACCGTTCATTAGGTTAATTCTATTTCCTTACGTTGTAAACTGCTAAGCTTGTGTATTTAATTTTTAATCTTATATTGTTTTGTAAATGTAATCTGTTTCTTAGGCAATAATCTATATTTTATTTTCTTTTGAACATATTAGTCAGTTTTATTAATAGGATCTATTGATAACTCCAGTTTGGGTTGGCACTTGGTCTATTTGTCTATTTTCATTCTTGGAAATTTAGATCTTACTTCCTGGCATTTATCATAATTTCAGACTGAAAATGTGGATAACAATATGTTCTTTGAGAGAGGATTAACTTTCTTCTAGCAAAGACTGAACAGATTACCATGAGGAAGCAGAGTTGTGGCTACTTTCAGTCTCCTCCTACTTCTGCATATTTGTGTTTCAGATTTCAAAAGCTCTGTGTTTCGAGGAATCTTAAGCTTCCACAGAGCTTTAAGTTCAAACTTCCTATTCTTAGTTGAAAGACTGTTGAATTATTTGCTAAGATATTTTCCAGTACCCAGGAGAATACTTCTAGCATCTTCTGTGTGCTGGGTTTATCTAAATCTTTCCCCACGTGGGCACAGTTTGTCTGTGCCAATATTGGGATGGGAAAACGCAAAGTCCTGATGTGAATTTAAGGCTTGTCCTTTCTGTGCAGGATTTTGGTTCTTCGAGTTTGGGAAGCTTTGGTTTCTTTCATCAGAGAGCTCTTCCCACAGAAGGTTCTCATATTTGGTCTGCATCTCTGTGATTTTTCCTATGAGCGTGATTAGGATTGAAGCTGCTGGTCAAACACACATAGCTGCAGGCAGGAGAAAGTGCTGCATTGATAACTTTGACTTTGAAAAGTGAAAGTTAGTTTATCATAGGTCACATTTCAAACCTATTTCATTAGCTCTGTTCACCTAATGTTTAGAATGACAATTCTCTCTGTGTGTAGAGATTTTCTTAGTAGGCATTCATAATCTTTTGAGTTTCCATGGAATCTGTAGTAATTCCCCCCTTTTCAGTTCTTATTGCGTGAATTTGGGTTTTTTGTTTCTTTCTCTTTATAAGTTAGCTAGAGGTTTGTCAATTTTGTTTATTATCTCGAAAAACAGCTTTTTGTTTCATTAATTCTTTGTATTTTTTTAGTTTATTTTTCTTTAAGAAGTCTTTCATTACTTGTTTCATGAAACATTGTAAATTTTTTTTATAAATAATGCTCATGTTTTTTGTCAAATTTTTGTGAACTTTATTGGCTTGCTTCACTTGGGCATCTTAATCTTGATTTTATATCTTCTGGAAATTAGATATTGTATGTTTGCCAGTTAGAGAAATGAGTGTGTACTTGAAAATAATTTTGAAGTTAATCAACTTAGCTTATTTAAGGCATAAAAACCCACAGGTATAAGGTTAGAATGTTGAATTTCAGAGAAGTTGCTCCTGTTCCTGATGACTCTCCTAAATTCCTTTTGGTACTAACAATGTCATAAATTCTGAAATTAAAATAAAATACAGGTGGTGTGATGATCATGTAATCCTTCCCTCAATATGAGCCATATCATTAGGTACTTTACAAGCCAGATTAGTCTAGCAGTCTTATTTTTCATCTTTTGGAAGTTTTGAGTGTCACTTATCTTCTGCTTATTTATTAGTTCCAGTTATGTTAGGAGTATGACAATTAAGACTGTATGTGTACAAACAATCATCTTCCTCCCATTATAAGTACAAAAGTGTTTCTGTGGTCTTCTCATTGAAAAGAAATTTACTCATTAAGATGCATTTAAAAATATATTGATTTTAAATGTACTACTTAAGATTTGCAAACAAATTTAGTGGAATTCTTCTCTAACTCTTGCTTTTCCTTCAAAAGCGAGGGAGAATTCTTCAGATGTCTTCCAGTACTAACTAATTTTTGTATCTTATTGTCACAAGGAAACTCCAGTTCTCACCCTGGGATGACCTGCAGTGAACTGAAGAGACACACCAGAAGGGCTGTGTTAAGTTTTCATAACATCTGCTATCGAGTAAAAGAGAAGAATGGTTTTTTATTTGGTAAGAGAGGAGTGGAGAAAGAAATATTATCAAATGTAAGGTATGTGTTTGATCTTTTTAAAAGAGTGCTTTGTTGACCTTCCTTGAATTATATAGGTTTTCCATATTACCAATAATGTGTTGTGACCTTTTGTATCTTCAAATACATACAGATATACAGATACATAATTTAAGATTTTTGGCTAACCTAGGGGTGAAGTGATAGAATGACTTTTGTTTTATCATCAAGACACTTTAAAAAATGATAAATGTGTATATATCATAAGATGGATGGAAGAAAAGTTATAGTACTTATACACTATGGACTAGTACTCTGCTACACAGAAGAATAAATGAGTCATTTTTAGGAAAATAGATGCACCTTAAGACCATGATATGAGGTGAAAGTATCAGATACATGAGTTTAAAAACTTACAATTTTTCTACTATGGGAAAAAATATAAAGGTAGAGAAAAAGAAAAGATAGATAGTATTATGTAGGAGCATAAGTTTTGCTCCATGGGAAAGCTGATCAGGAGACAGACAAGAGAGGTGTGGACCAAAGGGAAAGAAGGTGAAAAAATACTGAGATGTAATTTGTACATGTAATGGCTCCCCACAAAGAATGTAATCAGTATGTAATGCAGGCATGTACTTATAAAAAGTAAAAATTGAAAAACTGACATGTGTGTGTGTGTGTATGCATATAAATAACTTCTGGTCCATTTCACAGTGTATATTTTTTAGTACTGGCACTTGAACTCAGGACCTTGCACTTGCCAGGCAGGTGCTCTACCACTAAGCTATATCTCCAGCTCATTTTGAAGGATGGGATTAAGCTTTATATTTATTTATGAATAGATATACACATGCATACATGTACATATAAAACCCAGTAGCTTATTCATTCTTTAATTCTTCTGATTATTTACACATTTTCAAGTTTGTGAAGTATCAAAAAAATTGACTCCTATTAATCTTAATATGCTTGCTAATCTGCCTAGCCCATTTTCTTATTTGCTAATATAAGCACCTTCCAGGCTTGGTCATTTCCTCAGTTCTCCCACCCCTTTCCCTCTGTAACTCACGTTTTTGGGCGTGGCAGTTGCTGCATCTCCACCCAGAATTGCATTCGTTGTCCATTCAGAAAGGATGGAATGAGTAAGTCTAGCAGGAATTATTGACAAGATATTTCAGTGTGAAATAACAAATGGAATGGAAGTAATTTTTATCAGACAAAACCCAGCTTTTCTTCCAATACCTCAGTTCCTCCTCCTCCTCCTTCTTCCTTTTTCTTCCTCTTGTCTTTGCTCTTCTTCATTTTCTCCTTCTTCATTTGAGACAGGATTTCTCCAGGCCGTTCAGGATGGCCTTGAACTCACTTTGTAACCCAGCCTGGCCTCAAACTCTGGCAGCTTTCCTGTTTCAGACTTCTGAGTGCTGGGCTTATAGCTGTGCACCACCACATCTGGCTATTTCCTTCTTCCTGACTTCTACTTTATATTTGACACACTTTACTTTTTTCTTAAAAACAATTTTCATTTAGAAAAATTGAGAGATTGATTTGTTCAGCAAAATTTGAATGTGCACAGGCACCTGACAGTGAACAAAATGACCCGTGACACCCATATGTCCCCTTGTTCTCAGAAATCTTACAGTGTAATCTACTTTAAAAAGTAGAGCAGTTTCCTTGTAGTTTTCACCTGTGTGTGGATCAAAAGACACAATAAAACCTTGATCTGGAGTGCTGCAGGGATGGAGAGTAAGAGTGTGCAGATGTTTTGAATTGAAGGTAGGGAGATAGGCAGTGCTCGACAATGGCATGGATGTTTCTTGTCCATAAAAAGACCAATGATTGACTGTGATCTACTGAAGTGAGCTGCTGTGATAAGTTTCAAAATGCTTTTCAAACTAAATAATTCAATTTTTTTTCTTTTTTGCTGTTTCTTGTGTACTGGGGTTCTGTTCGGAGTCCTTGATTATGCCTGGGTATTCAGTTCTCAGTGTACCACGTGTTTGAGAAGGGATGGAAAGGGAGGTGGAAGCAATGGGTCAAGTTTTCAATGGGGATTTTACAGTATAACAATGAAGAAATGCAGATAAATATTGAAAAGCAATAAATGAGACTGGGAACAGCTTGAATGGGTACAAATCAGTGGAATATGGGGAAAGGAGATCATGGAAAATGTGTACCATAAACTAGATCGCAGTCAGCAAAATTTTCTCATCAAAGGCCAGATATCAAAGAGTTTCAGGTTTTTGAGCTACACATCTGTGTTGTGACTAAACTCCACATTTGTAGCATGAACGCCACAACAAACATGTGACTGAAGAGCATGGCTTTGCTTGGAACACAATTTGCATGAATAGGGGAAGCTGATGATCTGTCTGATGTGCTGATCAATGAACTAGAGTGCAACTAGAGGAGAATAGAATTTCATTTTTTAACTTTTAAATGAAAAAAGAATAAAAATGATGATACAGGATTTCAAAATAAAATAATAGATCAACAACAGTGAATATATAGTGTATTATTATCTTCAGAGAAGTTGATCACATTATAAAATATATGCATGAAAAAATGGTCAAAGAATTAAATCACAACCATTATTTATGATGAGCTAATGGGCATTAGTAGTATAATTATCTATATATGACCTTCTTTCTTTTCTCCTTTTTGCCATCTCAGTTCTTTCATTTTCAGCAGTTTCTTCCCCTTTCACCTTCACAAAACTATTGTACATGTTGGATCATATTTAATCTTTCAGTTTTTTACACTAGGGAGGCAATATGGTTATATATGTGAGTCTGATTTATTTCACTTATGAATATGGTCTTTAGTTTCATTCTTTTTATCTGCAAAAACCTCAAATTTATCTTTCTTTATAGCTGGATAGTACTACATTGTATAAAAGTACCATATCTTTTTAAAATCCTCCCTCAGTTTGGGTTGTTTCCAATATCTAGCTATTACACATTGTGCTTCTATAAACACAAGTGAACATATATAACTGTGGTGTGTTTTTAATTTTTCTGCAAAAATACCAAGAAGGAGAATAGCTAGGTAGAATGGAACCTCTAATCCTAGTTTTTGAGGAATCTCTGATTTCCACAGTGGTTGCACCAGTGTTCAGTCCCATCGAGAATGGTGAAGGGGTTCTTTTTCCTTACTGCCCTCCCAGTATTCATTATTAGTTGATTTCTTGATGATAGCCGTTCTTTCTGGAGTCAGATGCTCTCTCAGTCCTGATTTACTTGTCATTTATCAATGACCAATGACGGAGAACATTTTTTCATATATTTATTTGACATTTTTGTTTCTTCATCTGAGAAGTGTGTATTCATCTTCAGTGCCCGTTTTTGAATTGGGTCTTGGAATTTAGGAGGCCTGAGTTTTTTTCAGTTCTTTATATGTTCTCAATAGAAATCTTGTCTGAGGAACAGCTGGGTATATTCTTTTTACTCACTCTGTGACTTTTCTTTCACTCCACTGGTGATTTTTACTTCTATGTCTCCAAGATGTCTACCTACTTTCTCTTTCAGTAGATTTAGTGTTTTTGTTTGATTATTCAGAATTTTGATTCATTTTTATGTTAGTTTAGTTCATGATCATAGATAGGGGTCTAGTTTTATTCTTTGGCACGTGGAGACTCAATATTTCCAGCACTATTTATTCAACAGGCTCTCTTTCAATGAACATGTTTGGCAGTTTTGTCAAAGAAAAGTGCCCGTGTGTCCTTGCAGTTTTGTCTGCATCTCCTAATCTGTTCTGCTTATCCTCAGGTCTGGATTTTTTGCCAGTACCATGCTGGTTTCATCACATTATCTTTGTAGTGTAATTTCAAGTCATGCACTGTGATATTTCTTGCCTTGGCTTTGTTGCCCAGGATTGCCTTTGATATTCTGAGTCTCTTTTGTTTCCATATGAACTTTAGGAATTTTTTCTTTACTTATATGAGAGATGTAAATGGTATTTTGATTGGGATTGCATTAAATCTGCATAACAGTTTTGAGAGTGTGTCCATTTTCATAGTTTGTACTTTCTATCCATGAATAAGAGATAACTTTCCATTTTCTGATATCCTCAATATTCATCTTAAAAGTATCATAATTTTCAATGTATAGATATTTTATTTCCCTTGTGAAATTGATTCCTAAGCATTGAATTTTTTAGCATCCTACTGTGAAGGATGTGGTTTCCTAATTTCTCTCTCAGTGAGTTTATTGTTTGTGTACAGGAATGTTATTGATTTTGAATACTGGCTTTGTATCCTTCTATGCTACTGATTTTGCTTATTAAATCTAGAAGTATTTTGATGGACATTTTGGGATCTTCTATGTCGAGTATTATGTTGTCTGCAAATAATAAGAATTTCACTTGTTCTTTTCTTATCCTTATTCCTTTTATTTCTCACTCTTGTCTAATTGCTCTGGTTAGTGCTTCCAGAACTATTTTGAACAGGAGTGTGATAGTGGACATTCTTGTTTTGTTCCTTATTTTAGAATGAAAGTTTTAGTTTTTTTTTTATTTAAGGAGAAAAAGGAAAAAAACAGAAAAAGGGTACAAGTAATACAAAATTTAAAAAATAAACAGTAAGAAATCACTAGTTAATAGATTACATATTCTCATCTTAGAAAGAGTTGTTCAAGTTACAAAATAGAATTATATAAAGTGGACTTTCAAACAGTGAGAGTGCAAACAGTTTTGTGCAATGATCCAAAAACACTCAGTCATATAGTTATCTATCTTATACACTTAAACATATATGCAGTTTTAACCTTTAGAGCACTTTATTTTCTTTTCTTTTGTACAATGACAATTACACATTTTGGGTTTTATTACTCCCACAGTTCTTATTACTTTTTTTGAAGAGAGTAAAACCAAATGTGATATATCAGAACAGAGTTACTCAAATCAAAAGGATGGACATAATAGATAACGTAAAAACAAAATATAAAGTAATCAACAATGGTTACCATACTGCCTCTTGCTATTTTAAGAAGAATTGCCAGTTATAATAAAATTGAACTAAGCAGTAAAGAATAAAACCAAAGCATTGG